ACATTTTCGGCTTCCACTCAACCTAGTGTTCTTGACATACCTTTGGATGTTCTCCAGAAAGTCATTTGGTAAGTTATATTCAGCAACAAATCTTTACATGGAAATTTTGCAGCTGACAAAGAAGAAGCTTATAGTTCGGCTTCAGTCTCATCTTCATTACCTGGATCCTGAGGAAATTAGAATTAAGTGTGAACATTTTCTTGAAGTGATGTATCAGGAGAGTCTTCTGGCTTTGTGCCAAAATTCAGTCCTCCTAAGTACTGTGGGCACTGAAGTCCTTAAGAATAAATGCAAAAGCTTAAGATTGCCTTCAACTGAAGTTTTATCAGGATTTTTGACCCTCTCAAAGACTTGGACAGGAAAAAGTTATAGAGAAGAGTTTTCCTTTCCACATAAAGGACTACAAGATTTTTATGCAGCACAAGCAATTATTGCTTCAATTACTCAAAAGGAAGACAAGGATTTCTTGGAGAATGTGAGAAGTGGAATTGTAAAAGTTCTTGCAAAGAATAACATTTCATCAAAAATATCATCAGAAATAGTGTCTGCAACAGAGAATATTTTAATTGCATCATTGTCAAAACCAAAACACATTCTGTCCAACTTGGAAGACCTTCACAGGAATGATCCTTCACCTCTACAGATAAACAATTATCAGAATGTTCTTTTTCATTTGGTAGGACTGCTGAAAAATGATGGAGAAAATACATTGCAAAAGCATGCTAAAGAATTAGTTGAGTTGTTAAATAAATCTGGAGTGAAGGATTCAGAGCAGTGGTTGGACATTTTAGCAGAAGTAGACTGTGCCCCAGTAATGATGGAAGAAGTGGTTAAGTTCATGCCCACACACAGATGGAGTGTTCGAGATGGACACCTGAAAAGTGCACTGATGCTTTTTCCAAAGGTCCCAGTCAGACAAGTTGATTTCTTAATAGAGAAAAACCCATATTCTGTTCCCTACCTGAAAGAAATGCTTGAGCAGGTTGCTTCTACCAATTGTGAAATCCAATTGAACTTGCACTATCACTGGCAGCACCCAGAAGCAGATTCATCAGATGAGATTCTTGAATATATAAGTCAATCACGGTATGTATGTTTTTTTTTTTTTTTATGTATGAGACATCTTGATGGCTTACTAATATCCAAACTGATTTGATTTAAATTTCCCAGGTTCATCTATTAATTGAAAAGTATTATGTGAATGATCATACTTTTGAATAGATGACAAGAATAAGAGGGTATTTTGAAAGATCTTTATTATTATTATTATTATTATCATCATTATTATTTTTATTTTTACCCCCCCCCCCCCCCTAACTGCCCCGGATTTATATTCTGTCCCCTATAGTTTTTTGTGAATGTTGTTTGATACAGATGACTCCACATATGCTCAGCTGGCAAGGAGTCCATCAGTAACCCTAGTGACTGATCCTGATTTCCCTTTTCTTTGAATTGGCGGGAAAATGTGTTTTTCTTTTTAATACAGTTGACATCTATATTGTTATTATCATTATTGATGTTTTTATTATTAAAATGTTACTAAAATATCAATAACATTTAAGACAATGAAATAATGCAAAAGACCCTTTCCAGAAGTCGAGGAAAAGGGTAAACAGGTGAGATAGGTAGGACTAATAACTGACTCCTTGGTGACAACGCACTTGTAGAGCCATCTATGTGTAAATACTATAATAAAAACTTGTATCACATTGGCATGTATTCTTGTCATACGTGGTGATTGGGCTGAGTAACCCATTCATTCCTGTTCTTCATGAAATCAATAAATCATTTGGAGCTAATGCCGGCAGGGGCACATAGCCGCATCCACCCTTCGCTTCCACCTGCGAGGGTCTCTCATGGCGAGCCACCAGGCAGGGGCCCGGCCCATCTCTAGTTCCTCACGACAGTTTTGATCAATCTGCCCAAGACCTTCTTGGTCATCCTACAGGCCTCCTCCACCCGGGGTTGTCTCGGACAGAGACAACCTGATGGGCAGGTCAGGGAGTCGAGCCAAATGGCCGTATAGCCTGAGTTGGCGATCACGGATTGTGCAAGTAACAGGTCCTGTGCCGGTCACAGTGCAACCATTGGTTGGACACATGGTCCCGCCAACTGTACCCCATAATCCGGCGCAAGGATCTGTTACAAAAGGCATCAAGACGAGATTCCAAGGCACAAGATAGCGTCCAGGTTTCACTACCATATAGTAAAACTGGCAGTATCAGGGCCTTGAAAGCACGTAACTTGCTCCTTCTGCACAGGTACCGGCATCTCCAAATGCTCTTGTCGAGAGATTTCATGACCCCTGCTGCCAGGCCAATCCGTCCACTGACTTCCTAGTCTGACAACCCAGAGTCGTGAACTGCACTACCGAGGTTATATAAAGCTCTTGGTAACTTCGATGTTTTCACCGCAAGCACGTACCCACTGCACAGGGTCTCCTAGTAGGCCTCCAAATCCTGGTCTTGGTCCAGGAGACCTCTAGCCCCTGGGGCTTCGCTTCATTGCTAAATGCATCAATAGCCGCCACTAGGGTTTCCAGAGATTCAGATAGAATGGCAACATTATCAGCAAAGTCAAGGTCAGTAACCTTGATATTACCCAGAGTTGCTCCACAGTGACTTTGGACAGTAGCTCTACCCAGTATCCAATCCATGCAAGTGTTGAAAAGTCTTGGTGCAAGAACACAGCCTTGCCTCACCCCTGAACTAACAGGGAAGAAGCTCGACAGGCCCCCACCACACTTTATAGCACTTTCAGTGCCTGTATACAGGTTTGCTATTAATCCAACAGTCCTTGTTGGAATTCCACTCTCCCAGAGTGATTCGCGATGCACTGTATCAAACACCTTCTTAAGGTCGATGTAGGCTGCGAGCAGCCCACGATTGAACTCACGACGGTGCTCTACAATGACTCGAAGCGCCATGATGCGGTCTATTGTTGACTTACCAGGAGTGAATCCCGATTGCTCCGGACTTTGGTGCCTCAGCAGGTGGTCTCTGATACGTCTCAGTAAGATGTGTGCGAGTGCCTTGCCCGGTATACTGAGCAGTGTAATGCCTTGGTCATTGCTGCAATCCCACCGATCCCCTTTCCCCTTCCAGAGAGGGATGACCACACCCCTCCGCAGGTCAGGGGGAATGGTACCAGTCTGCCAGATGGCAGACAGGACCCTTGCCATAGGTTCTCCACCAGCCTTTAATAGTTCAGCTGGGATGCTACAAACACCTGCTGCTTTTCAGGTCATTTACTAAGAAATGGCTTTCGGCTTCCTCTTCAAGATTCCTGATAAACTGTTCCTTATCCCTAAGGTCTAAGCTAGAGTTGATGGTCCAACATACCAAAAGGAGAAAAATGCCTGCATGGGCATCAGTCCATGGCAGATAGACTGCCATGTCATCCTCTGGACACAAAACAAAAATTTTCCCTCTAAATTTACTATTAGGTCAGGTAGCACCGTTATTGGATCTGAGCTTATATTTTTTTTCATTTATGAGTTCATCAGTACTCATTCCTAACACCCATTGCATTGTGGATGGGGTATAAGGTGGTAGGCTGCAAAAGGCACTTATAGGTACAAGAAATGTGAAACTGATGTATTGCCATGAGCATCACTGTATCAGAAGAGTTAACCACCCCTTGTAGACTTTACAGTGCAGTCCCATCCACAAGCATTGTAAATATAGAATGGAAGTGCAACTGTTTGTCAGTGGAAACCATTTACGATACTGATTGTAGTGCAGTTAAGAAATGTATTGCATGTAGGTAAAGTGAACTGTGGTATGTAGTTTTTGGGAAATTGTAATTGGCTGTCAAGTAGAAGGAAGAATGGAGCCATGAGGAGAAGGACAACAAAGGATGGAGGGAGAAAATAAAATCTGTTATTGAGATTGGTATTTTCTCCATTATAGGTTCAAGTAATTGCAACAGTAGTCTTAAGAAAATTTTGTAGTTTATAGACATTCCTATTTAAAACAAATGATGAAAGAAATGAAGAGAAAGAGATGATGGGAAAGATATCCAAATAAAAAATTGTTAGATATAAAGAATTGGGGTTCTGGTTCAGGCATAGCCACATAAGGATCAGACCTTACTAAAAAATCTTTCATCTTTTATTTTACCCCCTCCCACCCCCCCATCATACTTGTTGTTGTCAAGGGGCTTAGGAACTTAGGGACTGAGGCCCAATGTTGGGGGTCTCCCCTGAATTGGACTTTAGCCCTCAGCTCAAATAATTATGCATGTTGTTTTCTTCTCTTGGCCACTTCTTAAGATGTGAGAGTTATTTTGAATAGTCTTGAGGCCATGGGCATGATATTCTAGCCCTTATCCCTCATGGGGACCCTGAAGGGTGAGCCATTCTCTGCCCCCACACTCCAGGCTTACCATGGCCAATAATGAATTTATACTATTAATAGGGGGATTGAGGCTTGCCTCTTATGAACTAGCCCCACATACATTAATGCTTCTGGTTCCTTGACTCTTGACTGCTACTACTTCTCCTTCCTCAATACCTGCTGTCAGTTCAGTCTATTTCAAGTCACCCACCCAGGTCATTACCCAACCTTCCGAAAACATTCTCTCTCTCTCTCTCTCTCTCTCTCTCTCTCTCTCTCACTATAGCTTTTTTGTACTGCAGATGCAGATTGATCAAGTTCATGGGTTCCTTGGATGACCTTTCTAAGCTGAGTCCGCACAAGAAGTTGGAACAGGTTTATATTGCTTTTGGAAAATCTTTTGCCAAGTCTGCAGGGGGCTCGCAGGATGTCCTGAAGACTCTGAGGAACATGGATTACCTTTGTATGTAACTTAATGTCCTTTAGTTGATAACATGTACGATTGTTTAATAGGACATGGTGCAGCTGTGCCTTTATGAATTTTCATTTTCTTTTCTTTTCTTTTTTATTGCAGATATCAATATTTTAGCTGGTCTACCTGTCGAGAACCTCCCTGTTCTCCCTGAAACAAGATTCCCAATTGATTTATGGCTGACACATGTGGAGGATTCACATGAAGAGTGGATTAAGGCCGTTGCATCCAAGTTTAAACTTCTCTCAACGTCAGTTATTCCAAAAGTCTCTCTCTCTCTCTCTCTCTCTCTCTCTCTCTCTCTCTCTCTCTCTCTCTCTCTCTCTCTCTCTCTCTCTCTCTCTCTCTTCTCTTTCTCTTCTCTCTCTCTCTCTTTCTCTCTCTTTCTCTCTCTCTCTCTCTTTCTCTCTCTCTCTCTCTTCTCTCTCTCTTTTCTCTCTCTCTCTTTCTCTCTCTCTCTCTTCTCTCTCTCTCTCTCTCTCTCTCCCCTCTCTCTCTGCTCCCTCTCTCTCCCTCTCCTCTTTCTATTTATGTTGTCTTCCCCCACAGTGTTACAGGACAAGTCAAATTTCAGACTGCATTTTTTTCTAATTTAGTTAATGAACACCAACCTAAAAATTTTGGGTGCCATTATAGCTACCCCATTTTTTTATTCACAGAACAATGAAATATGTCCTACACTCAATCTGCACTTTGCAAATTTTGTTATAAATATGTTCAATGTCTAATATTTCTGATTGTTTATAATTCATCTGGAGTCATAGATCAGACTGCCTTTTATAATTGTTATATTATTTCCAATATGAAAATTATGCTCTCCCATTTGGAAAGTAGAACTTTGCAGAATATTTATCATAGATATGATTTTAAATCATTCTGTAGATAATTATAAGCCTTTATTCAGTCTGAAATGTAAGATTTGTTAAGAAAATTGTTTGATTTTAATCATGTTTTGATGTTGGAAAGGTTTAATTGGTAAAAGACTTTTTTTGAAAGGTTGGCAAAACTACATTCTGTATTTGCTTTTTTTTCACATGAGAATGACTTCATAGAAGCTCTGTTGCTACGGATAAGTCTGATATGCGAAGCTGTGGACCTCGCCCGGGCTATGGGGGAGCCCGGCCTGTGCCGACGTATGTCGACTCGCTATCAGTGTGTCAGCAGGTGCTGACTCGGGTGAGCTTAGTCCTTACCCACTGTGGTGCCCGGCCACAGCAGTAACCTCCAGGCGACAATTGCAACTTCTCGCGCCTGGGCGGGGCGCGAACCGCCGACCCCTCGGATGAGAGGCCGACATGTTACCACTGTACTAGGCTGGAGGCTGTTGCTACGGCCTTGCCCTTTTTGTTGGAATTTGTTTACTGAATGAATACTTCTATGGATTCTGGAGAAAAATTATTGTTTTAGCTTCTTCCTTTATTCTCCACAATTGATGAATACAATTTCTACATCTTCTGCAGCTGCCATTGAAGTAAACAACCGAGTTCCAATACCCGTCTATGTATTCGACTTTGACACATAGTCTTTTAAATCATTTTTATTCATCTTTACTTTCTTAATTGGGTTGCTACACTTACAAGCTCAAGAGTATTTTATAAAACACATGGTTAACATCCAAGTTAACATATTGTCTTCATTACTTAAGGATTGACATAAATTAAAAGGACCGGCAGTTTGTCTCCCAAAAAGACTCACTGGAACCATCTTAAACCAACTAGAAAGGCTGTCCCCTTCCCACCCTCTTCACCCATATCCCTGTGGGCACCAGCCTAATTTGAGGCTTACAGGGCAAATCCCTCACAACCAGTGAAGTGATTTGCAGCATTGCAGTCATTGAGGCTGATATACATTTTACTATTCAACATGAATGACTAATACTACCTCCAAGGGGTAGTCATAGCCATTTTGAAGAGACCTCAACATTCAGTAGTAATGGTATCTAAAGTTAACAAACATGTAATTGGCTTTAAACTGACATAATCACTATCATCATTCTGCAACACATCAGAGACTACTTGCTGAAGTACCAGAGGCTGGAGCATGTTAGATTCATTCCAGGCAAATTCACAATAAATCTTATCCTTGCAGTTCAAAGAATATTGGACAAATATCAAGTATATATAGTGGTATTGAAAGTGCTGTAAAGTGTAATAGGGACATATCTAGCTGTTTTCTTGTGAATTCAGGAATGAGGCAAGAATATGCCCTTGCACCAAGAGGACAACAGTGGGCATTAGTAACTCTTAATGGCTTCAGTTCCTCTGTCCTGTTGGTGCAATTATCTCAAGTTTTCAGCTATTACTGGAACATCTAATTTGATAAAAAAGTTATATGCCCTTTATTTATGAAAGACAATGGGGAAGAACATTTAATGTAATAGAATGCTTGTTCACCATAACTTATATAACAAAAAATCAAGTATTTATCCTTTACTTGTATAAATATAAGATTTACAGTGAAAACATAATGTTACAAATAACTCAGCCATGCTTGTAAGCCTCTCTATGCCATCCTTTCTGAGTCTCTGGAAACCCTAGAGACCGCTTTTATGAAACAAAGCTGGGCTGTCAGAATAGAAAGTTATGAGACAGGTAAGTCTGGATTCATAAATTAACAGTAGGGTATTACTTGTACTGTATTTATTCAAAACCCTAATTCTAGCAAGCATTGATGTTGGGCAGCACCAGGAAGAACCCTTATGGCTGGAAGTAAATGGCAGGTATGACTGCAGAATGGTCTGCTACATGGGGTGATTTGTTCTTGTTAATCCTGCTGTCAAGACACAAGACTACAGCATCAGGAACTGTTGAAGGAAGCATTACATAGAAATACAGTCAGCTTGCCACCTACTTAATTCTTTGAACACAAAGAGCATATTTTTATGTCATGGTTGTGATGGACCAAGTCCCCACAAAATGCTATACCCCAGACCGTCAGCTTTTTGGAGGGAGGTAATTTTTTCTGATAGTAGAAGCATCATTTGTTTGCTGGCATTGTTAGATACAGACACCTAAAGGGAAGAGAATTTTATCAAATATTTGGTTATAAGTCCTAACTGCAGGTGATTAGGTGTCCAGTGTTGGATTTAAAGTATTGAACAAGCCAGGCATAAATATCTGTTCCAACAATTCTGCATTACCGGCCACTACTCAATTTGTAGTACAGCAGCTGGTTTAACCAAATGCTTTTAAGAGAATTTGGGGTTTGTTGGGCCTCTTATTCAAGGAGTATGCTCCTCCGGCCTATTTCACATATGGCCATCGCATAGCATTTGCCATGCTACTCCAACAGAGTGATGTGATTCCTTTTGGTATCACTTGTATCCAAAACATCATTTAATCTTTTTGCATATTCAGATGTACATGTTCTTCATTTTAGTTGTTAGATCAAACCTGTAGTAGTCCATTTCAATAAATTAGGTGTAATACAATTCGTGTACAAGATGTTATGTGATTTTACTGAAGGATAAAAAAGAATTTTTCATTTTCACAAACCTTATTCTTTCAAAATAGGAGATTATATTCAGTTATATTACTATGCTGTTTCCACAGCTTCAGTACTTCCCTTTTGGGTGTCATACTTCAAGACACTGACACTGGCAGAGGGCCATATGGCTGTCGGAGTAGTTGACAAAGGAGACTGATGATTTAAACTAGGGTGAAGGTTGCTAAAAGGTTCATAGTAGCAGGAAAAGAGTGCTATGTTTTGTCATTTCAGGCTTCATTTAAGGATTGTCTTCATATACTGTATTTAAAGGACTTTAACTGGCAACAAAATTATTTTTAAGTCAGCAAGTATAGTAATTAACCCATTGCCGCCGGGGAAAATGAACAAAAAATGGGGAGAATGCAGTGCTCATTTTTTATATATTTGTGAAATATGTCTTTCCATAGATGGCTCTGCTTGCCCTGATTTCACCTTTCCTTGAATTGGCGGGAAAAAACGTGTTCTTACTAGTGCTATAAATATAGATGGTGTTATTTTTAACAGCAAATTAGAATAATGTAAAATATTTTCATAAATCGATGAAAAGGGTGAAGGGGCGAGACAGGCAGTACTCATAATTGGCTCATTGGTGACTTTGTACAAGTGTAGCCATCTATGTGTAAAAACAATCGAACAAGTCAATTCACAGTGGGCATGGCATGTACGTACATGCCATCCCCGGTGGCAATGGGTTAATATAAAGTAACAGAAAACAAAACTTTATATACTCAGTCTTCTTACAGTAATAACATGGAATAGTTTGTTGAAAATTGTATAAGAATATGTATGGTACCCATGGTTGAGAAGGAGTTGACTTTGATTAGTTTAGGTATTATATTGTAACATCAATCTAAACTTTGCAGGCAAGTTTGGAGCATCAGATTTCCAAGAAGCAGCTTAACTGAAAAAGGCTGTGTTTATTTGTTTGGAGCACTTAAAGACATGAATATTGGCAAGGATGGAGTGTGGGTCAGCTCTCCACATATAACAGCAGAAAGTGCCGAAAAACTCAAGCAAATATTTTTGAAAGTGGTAAAAACACCCTTCAGAAGGTAAGGAAACTTGTATGCCATTGTAGTAAGGGTATAAAAATGAACTGATTAGAAATTAATGGTAACTCCTTCTGTAATATGACCTTTTTGCTCATTTAACCCAATGAAATGTCTCTGCACAAAGATGGCTCTGCTAGTGCTTAGCCAGTTAGTCAATTAGTAGACCTTGTGACCTTACCTGATTTCACATTTCCTTGAATTGATGGGGAAAATGTATTTTATACTAGTGCTATGAATATTGATGGTGTTATTTTTATCATAAACATTATAATTACTATAATGTTATAAACACTAGTAACAGCAAAATAAAATATCGTAAAATATTTTCATAAATCAAGGAAAAGGATAAACACGCGAGGCAGGTAAAACTCGTAATTGACTTATTGGTGACTTAGCACAAGTGTAGCCATCTATGTGTGAATAAACTCACAGTGGGCATGGCATGTATGTACATGCCATGCCCATCAACAATGGGTTAAAACTGGATGATTTTTCAGTCTTGGAAATCTAATTTTTATAATTGCAGTTAAAATTTGTGTTACGAACTTGCACTACACTGCAAGTACAGTGCAAGGAAAGCCTCTTACTGTTGCTAACCTATTGGATCCAGATGTTTGTCTGCCATCGCGAGGCCCAAAATACAGGCATTTGGC